CCCGTAGATGTGCGACGTGATCCTTCTGATTTGACTAACATGTCGTCGATGTACACCTTCATGGTTTTCCCGAGCTGATCTGCAAATATCTTATTGACGAGTCGTTGATATGTTGCCCCGGCGTTTTTGAGTCAGAACGACATGACTTTGTAAGAATATATTCCGCGGTCAGTTATGAACGCCGTTTTCTCCATGTCGTTAGGGTGCATCAAGATTTGGTTGTACCCTGAGAACGCGTCCATGAATGACAGCAACTTGTTTCCTGCCGTAACTTCGACGAGTCGGTCGATATATGGTAGAGGGAAACTATCCTTGGGGCACGCCTTGTTGAGGTCTGTGAAGTCTACGCAGACTCGCCATTTGCCGTTTTTCTTCTTCAGCACCACTGGGTTTGCGAGCCAGTCTGGATATTTTACCTCGGCGATCGATCCTACTTTGAGTAGTCTTTTCACTTCGTCGTTGACAGCTTCAGCTTGTTCAAGGCCGAGCTTTCTCCTCTTCTGCTTGATTTGTTTGAAGGTCGGGTCTACGTTTAGTTCGTGACAGGTCACGTTAATGCTTATCCCCGGTATATCTTCCGCACTCCAGGCGAAGGTGTTGATGTTTGCCCTGAGGAAGGAAAGGAGTTCGTTTTTCAGGGGCTCTTCTAACTTGGTTCCGACCTCGACGCATCTCTTTGGATGCGCTTCGTCTATGCATACCGAGTCCACCACATCGCATACTGGCTCGGTGTGTGTTTCGCGGCTCTCCGCGATCTGTAATTGCTATAAGAGTTTGGAGAGCTTGCTCGCGGGCTCTCGGTTCGTCTTAAGCTTCTTGCGATCTACATCAGTGCGTGCATGAGTAACATGATTCCTTAACTTATGCTCCGTCTGAAAACACATTCGTGACTCTTTTTATTTTCCCAAATCGTCTTGTTGCCTGCTGAAGTCAAAAATTTGATGCAGAAGTGATAGATTGAAAGGATTGCTTTCATGGCGTTAATCCATGGAGTTTCCATGATCATGTTGTAGATATTTTACTAAATTTAAAGCTAACAAAATTTAAAATTTCTGACAATTTTCTCAATTTTATTTGTATCTAACCATGCTAAAGTTTTTGATAAAAAATAATTACTGATTGTTATTCGTCTACGGAAAAAAACTAGTTAAGGGTTGTTAAGCTTAATTAGTTTGGTAGTAAAATTAGTTAAGCTTACCACTTTGCCTATAAATCTTATATACTAATAAAAGTTGAAGCTAAATGCTTATAAGGGTGTCCACATAGGATTTAAGAAATCAATTTAATTGGTCCACGTTAACATTCAAAAATAAGGAAAATTTACAAATTATAATATTATTGTTGAAAAGAAGGAAATTAAGAAAGTGTCCACATAGGATTTAAAAAATTAACTTTATTGGTCCACATCAACATTTAAAATTAAGAAAAATTTACAAATTGTAATATTATTACTGAAAAAAAAAATTAAGAAATTTTATTGGTCCAATAAAATTTCTTTATTGGTCCACCTCAACACTGAAAATTAAAATATGTTTGTATAAATTTTTTATTGGTCCACATCAGCATTGAAAATTGAAAATTTTCCAAATTCTATTATTGTTTTTAAAATTATTAAAAGTAAAGAAATTATATATAAAATTGATATTAATAATAAAAACAAAAATAAATAATATTAAAATAAGAAAATTAAAAAGGTGTCCACATAAGATTTAAAAAATCAATTTTATTGGTCCACATCAACATTCAAAATTAAGAAAATTTTACAAATTGTAATATTATTGCTGAAAAAGGAAATAAAGAAAGTTTATTGGACCAATAGAAACATTTTTTTATTAGTCCACCTCAACACTGAAAATTAAAAAATGTGTATATAAATTTTTTATTGGTCTACCTCAACATTGATAATTAAAAATTTTCCAAATTCTATTATTGTTTTTAAAATTATTAAAAGTAAAAAAATAATATACAAAATTGATATTAATAATAAAAAACTAAAATAAATAATATTAAAATAGAAAATTTTGATTTAAATTAGATATATACACACATATTTAGAGACTCTTACATTAGCATCCAATTTTTTGTCACATAATTATAATAATTTTTAAGTTTTTTTTCTTGTATGTGCAACCATGTAAAATAAACAAAAACAAAAGATAGAGTAAGGTTTCACTAAAAAATGAGTCATTACAACGTAAAAGCACTAACTTGACTAAACTATATGTTTAACTATTAGCTAAATTACAAAGAATATAATGAAAGAAGATATAAACAAAACCACTACAATAACAAACTTGACCAAATTATATGTTTAATTATTAGCTAAATTATAAAGAATATAATGAAAGAAGATACCAACCAAGATACTACAAGCTGCTTTAATATTAAAAAGAAACCGTAAAATCTCCAAAGCTTGGCCATCAAATTTAAGAAGAATGATAAATTTCAAGCAATCCGAAAAACATGTCAAGTGATTGATACTCGGCACTTTTGAAAAACCAAGCACTGAAAATAGAGAAAAGAACATAGCGGAGGAGACTGAGGTATCTGAGGAAATATTTTGAAATAACATAGCATCTGAATGAGTTTTAACAATCTAACATGAACCACAAAAGTAACAATTAGCTGACCAAGTAGCACTGAATGTATTCGGTAAGCCTCAAAACAATGAGGAGAGGCTAAAATCACTTGCCGTAACCGGCCTTCTGTGAGATATTCCATTTTTGATTTCTAAATATATTACTAATAAAAGTTAAAGCTATATGTCTCTAAGAATGTCCATATATAATTTAAAAGTTCAATTCTATTGGTCCACATCGATATTTAAAATTAAGAAATTTCTAAATTTTAAAATTATATTGTTAACAAACAAATATATTTTTTTAAAAACGTTGAAGCTATATGACTCTAAAGACATCCACATAAAATTAAATTAATTTTTTTTTAAATTATAAAATTACATTGTTAATACAAAATAATATAGGAAAAATTGTTAATTAAAATTATTCTATTATTAATGATTAAAATTATTCTATTATTAATGATAGTTAAAGCTATATTATTTTCAAGGCATCCACATCAGCATTTAAAATTATAAATTAAAAAGTTTCATAATTCTAATATTATGGTTAAAAAATATATTAAAAAATAAAGAAATCTCTATTAACAAAAAAAAACCAACATGATATTAAAATCTCCATTATCACAGTTTAAATCACAAATTTAATTTATTATCTATAAAAAATATATGCTACTTATACAAGTTTAAGTTACTTGATTTTAAAGCTTTTCATATAGAATTTCAAATAACTAATATTTATGATTTATATTCATCTAATTTTTTCACATATGCAAACCATATCATCTAAATATCTAATATATTATGCGAAAATATGTAATATGTTTTTCTCATGTAATATATTATGCAAAAATGATCAAAAATTTTACATTTTATATATTCAATTTGGAATTCAATAGATTAATGTAGAAGTTCTTAGTTTTGAGTTGTTCAATTTGTTATTTTATTTTTATAAATTTGTATGTATTAAATTGTACTGGTTTTGTCATACTTAATTACAATTAGAAGTGAGAATGAATATGATGAAACCGAATATAATCATACAAAAATTATTAAAATAAATAAATATGATAGATTCATTGAAAAACAGATATAACAAGAATAAAAATGAAGATTAATAGGCCTGGGCATTCGGATATCCGGTTTGGTTTCGGTTCGGAACCAATCGGTTCCGGATATTTCGGGTAGAGGAAGTTAGGATCCATCGGGTATTTTATAAATTTCGGTTCGGATTCGGTACCTTTATTTTGGTTCGATTCCGGTTCGGATAATCGGATCCGGATCTTTTGCCTCAAATTTTTAATTCGACTCACACTTTTTTAATAACAAAAATTCAAAAATATATATATCAAAACTTAAAAATATACCCAAAAGTCCCAAAAATAAAGAAAATATATCTGTAAAACCAGAAATATATACCAAATATCAAAAATATCAAAAAACTAATATTTAGAAGGATATATAATTATACTTTGGATAATTCGGGTACCCAATCGGTTCTCGGTTCGGTACTAGTTCGGTTCCGATTCTTCGGGTATAAGAGTTTAAGATCCATCGGATATTTTTAAAAATTTCGGTTCGGATTCGGTACCTCCATTTCGGTTCGGTTCCGGTTCGGATATTCGGATCCGGGTTTTTTGCCCAGGCCTAATGAAGAAGATGAAAAACAAATTTCATTCTTATTAGAAAAGATAATGTATAATCATTGAAAAATTATTTAAAAGTTTACACTACCAATTGAAAAAAATATATTTATTTACAAATTTTGTGTGATTTTATTCATTTCATATTCAATTATTGTTTTAGTTTCAAATTTAAACTTGTTATTAATCTCAAAGCAAATATTTTATTTAATAGTATGTTTTTTAAATTAATATATCAACATAAAAATTTGTATTTGTTAAACAAGAGAAGAAAAAAGATTAAATTTTGATTTTTTATTATTATTTTTAAGAACATATATATAATTAAATTAAAGTGAAAATGATGGAAAAAAATTATCTTCTTGATTTAAAGAAGTGAATATATAATATTTTATTATCATGTTAATATGATGTTTAAAAAGTAACATTTGATTAATTTGTAAAAATTTTAGTTGGTTTTTGTATATTAACTTATAAGTGTTTGACCAAATAATATATTTTTGAAATATGATATACTATATATAAATTCAAAACAAAATCGTTCAAACATCACAATTTATATAAAAATTATTAGATCAACACTATTATATTTTAATAATATATTAAAATATTAATATATACAATTTAAATCTTAATAAATATAATTAATGTCATATAATTTTTATCAACAAAATACCGAGGACGCAAAATCTAGTCAGTAAAAAAGAGTTAACAAAACTAAAAACAAAAACTGAAAATTAAAACGCTGTTAAACGACGAGGAAAGAAAGAAAAACCTAAAAAAAGGGTTTACGAGGGTAATATCGTCGATTCAAGAAATCCTACTTGTAGCTGGAGATCTCAATTATAAACTACATTTCACTCTCCACGCGCTTTAACGCTCTCGAAGGAATCGAAGAAACAACGAATCACAGCGATTTTTCTCGAGAAAATCCAAACCTGAGAAAGAAAAAAATGGCGGATCAGCTAACCGACGACCAGATCTCCGAGTTTAAGGAAGCATTCAGCCTATTCGACAAGGACGGAGATGGTCTGTTCTTCTCAGATCTTTTCTCGTTTTTTTTTTGTTTTTTTCAAATTCATCCTGAAGATCGTGATCCTGATTTTGTGTTTTTTGTTTTTCTTTATGTGATTTGAGGAAGATCTACTTTTGTTTCTCTCAGTAATTGCTTGCTTAAAAATCGACCGTATATTTAGGGTTGCTTTGGCTTTTCATTTCCCGCATTTCAGTTATCAGTAAACTCGTACATTGTAACAGTGGAGATCGTTGTTTCTTTGTGATATTTACACGTCTGCTCTGATTCTGGACCAATCCTGTGGTAGACTGAATCGATTTGGGTTTTAATATTTGAATGGTAGCAGGCAGATTGATTTGGTAGTTTTTTCTCCATAAATCTGAAAACGAAATTTCGTTTATCATGTGATGTTGCCTTATAAAAAAGAAAGGAAGAAGTCAATAATATCATCACTGTTTTTTCTTCTCTAGATTACTGGAGCATTGTTCTATTGCATCATTCTTACAACAGTGTGCATCATATCTCTTGGCCTTTGATTAAAAAGAGACTTGAAATGTTTTCTGCTATATTGTATGCCAGAAGTTTCTTTGTTTATTTGGTTGACTGTTTCTGATTAAGATATCAAATCTGTTTTACCTGTTAAATCTCTCATCGGTCAAACCAAGAAACACCATGATTGGGTAATAGTATAAGAGCTTTTCTTTTAGCAGTGTATTTCTATCATTGTGTTTTCAATGGGGATCTTCACATAGTACTTGTGTTACGATATATGGTTCATCTTTTTCTTCCTGATCTTGTTAGATGTTGACTAAATTTATTTTTCGTATGTTCAAAGATGTTGGCTACATTAAACTCACAAAGTGATACTTGAAATATTTCTTGCTATATTGTATGCAAAAAGTGTCTTTTTTTAACTTGTTAGACTTTTTCTGAAGAAGAAATCAATCTGTTTTACTTGTCAAATCTTCATCAGTCAAACTGACTAGTACGATGATTTGGTAATAGTATAGGAGGATCATTTTTGAACTCTGTGCATTTCCATCATTGTGCTTTCATTCGGGAAATTGACATATTACTTGTGTTAAGATATTTGGTTCATCTTCTTCTTCCTGATCTTTTTAAACGTTGACTATAATATAGTTCACAAAGTGATACTTGGAGCTTGCAGTCTAAACTTGAAGTTGCCTTCGATTTTGGTTTTGGTTGCAGGCTGCATCACCACGAAGGAGCTGGGGACCGTGATGAGATCACTAGGTCAGAACCCGACAGAAGCCGAACTCCAGGACATGATCAACGAGGTTGACGCAGACGGGAACGGAACAATTGATTTCCCAGAGTTCCTGAACCTAATGGCGCGCAAGATGAAAGACACTGATTCAGAGGAAGAGCTTAAGGAAGCCTTCAGGGTTTTCGACAAGGACCAGAACGGTTTCATCTCCGCAGCCGAGCTCCGCCACGTGATGACAAATCTTGGGGAGAAGTTGACGGATGAGGAAGTTGATGAGATGATCCGAGAGGCTGATGTTGATGGTGATGGTCAGATCAACTATGATGAGTTCGTCAAAGTTATGATGGCAAAGTGAGATTCTTCTTATCCCTAATTCCAAGTCTGATTTTCCTTTTCATCTTTAAAACTGAGAAAGTACAGATTTGCTTCCGTGTTTGTTTTGTTGATCGTGACTTTTTTGGTTTGCTTTTGTTATTGATAACTTTGCTTCTCTATTTGATTTCTTTTTCGTCTTTGGATATGCTATGTTCGTGAAGTTGAACTCATAATTTGCTTTAGTTTCTTGACAGATTGATATGATTCTCCCTTTTTATTTTTTTCTATCGTGCTTCACCAAAATTTTCAGTTTGTTGAGATCGACTAATTATCGTCTATTAGGAAAATGGAAAAATATTGCTAAAAGCTGGCAAAGGAATATATTATGAAAGATAGAAGTCGTTTTTGAATGTTTAGTGTCCTGGCATGAACAAAGAAACAGTAGTTATTAGATGATCTTGGCAAAAAATTAAGGACGAGAAGGCTACTGAATTTTGTTTTTTCTTTTTTGGGTAAAATAGGTAATGAAAAAAATTGGTTAGCTCAATATGGCAAAATAAAAGTGCCTCAAGTGAGATCGTACCATAGACCAAAAAACAAAAATGTTTCAAGAAAACAACTTAAAGTTTACTGCTCAACAGAGAAAGAGGAAATTCTCAGACAAAGCAAAATACAAAAACATTTTTTGACATTTTCTTTTTCTTTTATGATCAAACATATATATAAGGGTAAGGGTGTGACTGATATAGTTGTAAAGAAGGTTGTGTGGGCGTTTTGATCAAATTGATTGTGTTGCTCTCCCCTGAAGATTTTGCTTTTATTTCACCATAAGAATTTTTTTAAAACAAAAACAGAAGTAATCCGTATGTGTTTGCATTTTCTGTCTTACGAGAAAGTTAGCTCTTTTATAATTTTTATTGAACATAGATTTTCTATTTGGAATTCTAATAAATTTGTCGACCGTTTTTATGAAAATTAATAGCTTATTTTATATGTTTTTGTTAAAGTTACATTATTCTTATTTTTAGTTATTTAATTTTTCGTATCTTATTTAAATGGAATTTTACTATTTTATAAGTTTTAAGCTTTTATAAATTCAAGGATTTTCTCGCCAACTTTATTATTTTATGCTCTATAAGAAATTTTAGTACATACAACTAAAATTATGAATCAAATAATAAAGAAAAATTATAGTAACATCTAACTACTCAAATTCTACACTAGTCATAGGCTCACAACTCTACAATCAAGCTATGTTAAAAAAATTGGACGTCTAGGTGCTAGACGGTAAGGAGCCACTACGATTTATGGATAATCGAATCAATATATCAGGTGTCCGATTAATCTTCGCCTATACTAATTGCACCCTGAGTTCGTTTTCATATAAAAACATAAAAACTTTTTTTTTTTTGCGTTGTCTACTCTGTTATTGTTTTCCTCCGTACATTTTCTTTATAGATACTCCAGTTTCTGATTATTTTCTAAATTTCTAAACCCTAAAGATAGAAGATTGTTTGTTGTTCTCAGTTGGGAGTGCGAAAGTAAAGAGATAAAGAAGAGGAAGACGAAGAAAAAGAAAAAAAAGAAGCCCAAGAATGCAAAAAAGAATGAGAACGACATGATCCATCAGAAACCCGTGGGTTCCAAGCTGCGTTGCATTCCTAGTTGTATGCTTCCTCTGCCATTGCTCTCCTTTCTGCTGAATAATAGGTCATCTGCAGATCAAGAAAGAACACAAAGCAAATACGAGATGAAGAGTTAAAGCAGTTAACATGATGTGCATAAGAAAAAGATTGGTAGTTAGGCTACCGTGCGAACCGTTTGTAGAGGACGACAGTTATATACTCAGATTCAAACCATATAATTTTGTCCCATGACGAAAACATATGAAGGTGTCAATCCCTGCTCTATGAAAATATGTTGAGCCTTTGAGGAAGAAGTTGAAAGGAGGACGAAAGAAGAGTCTATTTTTGCTAGTGTTAAGAAATGTTAGATGATATTTGGAAAATTACGAGGAACCACAAATTTATCTGTAGAGTTTAGACATTTAAACGTGTTTATTATTATTTATCATAGAAATTATACGATAGACGAAACCGCTTATAAGATTTCCAGTCGCCAATGTGTTAACTATAAATCAAAGCAAGAAGCTTTGTGTTTGAGAGAGAAAAGTAACAACTTTTCACAATCTTATTAATAACGATTACAGAGCAATGTTTTATATAGGGAGATAAAGATAAGACCTTTGTCACACACTGACAAGTGTCTATTGGTAGGCTATTGAACTAGATCAAAAAATACTAAAAGGATTGTGCAGCTCGATATGGTGAGGTGTGCGTATTGAGATTTGTTCACGCTTTAACCATGGTTTGGTTGTTCTGCATTTGTTGTTTCTGTCTCTGATTACAACCGGAAACAAATGCTCATTTGCCTAATTACAAGCTAAAAATTCTCGTATGACCCTGTTATAAAAATTAATTTATCTTTGATATATTTTTAATTCGAGGATGTGGTCACGTATTTGTGCCTCTCAAAACAATATTTCAATACTTACTGGGTCAACCAACCATATCTAGTTTTACTGGACAGTATCCAACAAAATCGGATCTAATCGTGGATATAACCCTAAATTCGTCTTTAGAAAAATCAAATAACTAAATTTCGATTTGTAATTCTATTCCCTCCTGTTTGTGTACAACAAGATTCACAAAAAAAACTAATAAGATTTGTAGGGGTGATGGTGCGGGACTATATCAAGAATTAGATCAACTGAAAATCAGGTTCGTCCCTTCTTCTTCTTTATCTCATTTCAAGTTTTTTGGGTTGAAAGATGTTTGAAAGGTCAAATTTTGCTGTTGGGTTGTGTTGGAACTTCATAAGGGTTAGGATAATGGCTGTTTTTGAAGAAGTTGATCATAGTGAAGAGTCACCAGAGTTGCCAACGACAGAAATACGAGATAACATCGATGAAGGAGAAGGCTTTCAGGCAAATGAGTCAATGGGGTCAACGATAATGTTGTGGAAAAATATGAGTATAGGGAAATGGATGAAAAAACCGGTTGTAATTACAACCGGAGAGTATGTTCTTTGCTCCAGCTGGGTATAATAAAGTAATGAAATTAGGAACCAGGTGTTATATCCAGAAAGCAGTCGAGAAATTGGAGTCTCTAAAGCTTAGTGCTGACGAGCTCAGCTGGTTTAAAGATCACCCAAACTTCAAGCATTTCTGGCACATGTCTAGTGCATCTAAAACAGACCCAACACATTAGTTGATGGGCATGTGGATGTTGCTTGTTTGGACAGCAAGTACAAACAAAAGGAAGGAATGTTGGTTTGTTGTTAGTGGCGTTCCCATCCGATATTCACTTGAGAGAGCACACACTGATATCAGGATTAGACTGCTGTCCATATTCAGATAACTTTAAGAATTTAGGCAGTGGTGATTTTGCTAGGAGGAACTTTAAGAAAAGCATAGTTCTCTCATATGCTGTTGTTGAAGAAACTGGAGACGATGCCAGGTAGTCAAGAGGACATGTTGAAAATGTGTGTCGTTTTCTTCTTGTCGAGCATAATTAGTGGGAAGGCGTAGACCGGCAAGGGAGCACCATTTATGGAGCCATTTTCGTTAGAATTGTTGATTATCTTGAGGCGTGCCAAACTTTCCCGTGGGGAATGCTTTCATTCGAGGTCAATATGAGGAAAACTGGTCATACAATGAAGCATTTCAATGGCGTCGCGGATTGGTGGGCCTAGGGTTGCTCGTCTTTTTGCAAGCACATTGGTCCGAAGTTTTAAATTTATAAAATCCTAGTGTCTGCAAGTGCACAGATGTACGTTGTAGGACTTAGCGTGTCGATCTGGAATAACACAGATGTCTAATCTGCAATAACACCAAACTGGGAGAGTAAGCAAAGTCATAAACTCATGGGGGTTTGGAATTTTTGGTTATGGGTCCTAAACTAAACCTAATATAATATTTACAGGAAATAAAATGCAATGCAAATGAATTACTAAAAGAATATCCAAAGGATATTCGACTCAAACTATAGACTCTATACTCAAACTATAGACTCTATACTCAAACTATAGACTCTATACTCAAACTATAGACTCTAGACTCATAGTGGGCGATTTAAACTTCTCTGGTTTACTCTAATCGATGTCAAAGCATTACCAATTAGCCTCCGTGCGATTTATCTTCATATGTTTTCTGGAATCTGCATGGAATGGAATAGACATGTGTATGATTAACCAACTCTCGCCATCTTAATCAACTAATCACTTAAATATGACAATTATCTCTCGCTCTCATGCCAGAAATAAGATCATGCATTAACTATTGAATTTTTTTTGCTCACATCTTCTCTACAAGTAGATCTTGACTCCTGTAGCGACTATGTTCTTTTGAAGCTAGGTATGGATGATCTGATACAGCACTCTCTTGGCTCTGATCGATCCTAGGCTCAGAGAATAGGTCATGAATATACTCTCATGCAATATGAACAACTTAGAAGAGATGAGATCCAGAATATGGTTTAGACACTTAGAAATCCTAATCGAACATGTATGCCTATCGATGACTCTTTAGCAAGTTGACTCTCTGGGACATATCTACATGATGCAAAGAATGATAAAAGACATGAAAGAATGCAAAAGATGAAACAGGAAAGTTAATTAGATAGAAAGGAAAAAGAACAATGGATCCAGGGAAAAATCCCCTTCTCCATCGCCTAACCCTAGAAAAACAATGTTTGGTGGCTCAAAATCTCATTACAGGAGCACACACCCGTTTAGGACTGCTAAGAAATGTATTTATAGGTCCTAAGGTCTTCCAGGTCTCATTTAGGGTTTCTCTGAAAAGGAATGGTGAAATGGGATTTGATGTTGGGCCTTGTGGCTCAGCATGGGTCCACCGGGGGTGAGAGTCTTCCGGGGCAGGTAAAATGCTTATTTGCCGCGGGTGAGAGTCTTCCGTGACTGGTGAATTTGGTCAACTTGTTTTTCATGTATCTTTTGATTGCACCGTTGGATCTTTCTGATGTAAAGTGCTATGGAAAACGGGTTGTCTCCTCTTGAATGTCTCCAAAATTGAGTTGGATCAGACGGTGAGAAAGTCTTCATTTGAGGCTGAACTTCTGACGGTCTGACTCTGAGCCAAAAATGTGAATTTGTTCCATTTTGCCATCTTTTTCCCAAATTTTCCTGAAAAGAGCCTTGAAACTACAAATATATAGAAATTATTATAAAACTTCCTAAAAA